CTTGCTGGTCTAGGCTGTTCTTCTACGTGCTCGGCTCGTCTATGCCGCGGTAGCGGTGCATATGGTGGATTTCTAGCAGACGAGGGGTTTCGTAGGCTGCTGGTAGAACTTGAGTTGGATTGAGTGATTGCTTCTCTCCGCCTGTCATGCTGCCTACTTCGATGTGATGTGGAGGATGCTCCTTACGGGCCTAGCCGCGAATGAACACTTCGCTTGGAAGGTTGCTCATGTCGATCATTGAAGTGTGGCCCCAACCGTGAGTGTATGCTTGTCCGTGGGCCTAGTCGAGAATGCACACTCCTTTAAGCGCTAAGACGGGAGTATAAGCTATCTTGGAAGCCCAATCGGGAGTGTACTCTACCTAAACACTCGGCTCGTGGCTGGTCGAGTGGCTTCTTGTTGGGACGCTACTGGAGAGGTTCTTCGTCTGCCCCGTTTGGAACACGTTGCATCTTGGTGTGCTACAAGAGCTGGTTCACCAAGGTCGTCTGCTATGCTAGGGCACTTGTCAACTCCATAACTTGTCGAGACAAGTGTTGTTCGCCATTTGGATTGGAAGAGCTTGGAAGGAATGTTTCTCCTTGAGCAGTGGAAGTGTGGTAGACTCCGAGCGCGAGATTTGAGCTGGGAAATGTCAAATCCGTAGAAAAATATGGTGAAAATGCTCCCGGTTTGATCATCGGTCCAGAAATTTAGAACGGGGACGGTTGAACTGGTTTTGGACCGATTTGGGCTACTTGGAAGGCCACGGGAGTAGACTGGGCCATGGGAGCATGCTGGGCCACTAGAGCAGGTTGGGCCACAGGAGCAAGCTAGGCCACTAGAGCAAGCTGCTTAGCAGGAGCAGGTTGGGCCACGAGAGCAGGTTGCTCGGCTGGATTAGGTTGGGCCACAGGAGTAGGCTGGTCGGCGTGTGGTACACGTGGGTGCCAGGCTAGGGCTCGGCTTGGCAACGCGTTGGGCTTGGAGTGACATGGCTTGGGTCATGGCCTTGGTGCCATAAGCCTTGGATGGCACGGCTCGGGCCGTGATAGTGGTGCCATGGACCTCGCCACGGGTGGCCACCGCGGTGGTTCCTAGGGTGGAACCTTGTGGTGGTGGTGCCACTCCTCCTAAGATCACATTTAGTCTCGTGGATCACCATGGTCCCATTTCTTGAATATTGTAATTTTCACTCACGGAGTTTTCTAAATTTCTTGCCATCGTATTTCTTTTTTTCGTTTTATCAAAGAATCTTTGCAAATAAAAAATTCTAATAATAAGAACGTACGAAAAAATACAAGTGGACTAGAAAATAGAGAAAAAACCTTTTTATGCGAGAATCTTCTACGAGTGTGAATTTCAACTCTCAATGAAAGCACCAATTTGTGGATGCAAATTTCTTCCTCCTTGATCTTGGACAAAATTGCACCCACAAAACAAATAACACCTTAGGTCAACGCCAATAGCCTCACGCGCTCACGATGAATTTGGGGGGGGGGGGGGGCTTTAGCCCAAGAACCTCCGATGCCAAAGTTAGAATTTAGAGAGAAAAGTGTTTGAGAGTTTTGGAGAATTTTAGCAAGAGTATGAACCTAGCTTTTTAGAGAAAATAGGGTCATATATATAGGGAATGGAGGTGGCCGGCCCTTAGAGGTTTTTTGTGTGAAAATGGGTGATTTAATTGGTGATTAATGGATTAATTAGAAATTAATCCATTAATTAGCCAATTAATCTCAATTTATATGGATTAATTTGTAGGTTATGAAGTAATTACCTAAGATGAGAATGGATGAGATAATTTGGAATTTGGTACCTATTTTGGACACTCTTGGCATGATTAAAGAATGATTGTCCACTGCTCGCGCGTAGGACAACCGGTGTGTCTCAGGATTAACTTTGTCCTTTTCATCAAAAATCCACGTGTCGTCTTGTGATTATTTTTGGTTCCACATCTATCATGTATAGTACAAGACCTGGTTTCCGTAGAAGTACGTGAATGCATGTCAGCCGACATTCGTTTTGTTAAAGATGTTTGCTTTTTACACTACGACTTAATGTTTCCTTCATTCGTTTTCCAGACGTGCTTATTCATTGTTTGTATCCTCAGAGATATAAATCATAAATAGTTGCACTTTCGACCATGTCGTCAAAAGCACTTCTAAGCATACTATCATCAACATTGGCGGCAGAAATCCACGATTTTAATTCAAATAACCGAAATTCGATCGCTATGGAACGGTATGCAACTATTTATTAACCAAAACTTACTAACTTTAATTTATGTTTTGGGTTGTGCTTATATGAGTGGGTTCTTGCTGTGATATGCCATAATCATGTTTGAGATGGGATGCACGTGTATCCATTTATTATCATTACAATAAAAAAGTCGTAAACAAAACACGCCTATCTTTAGTCAAAGAAACCCACTCCATAAATGTTTGATTTTTTATCTACAAAGTAAACGTAAAAAGGAGAAGAAAAATGCTGCATGTAAAGAGATCATCATCTTATATATGCACCCAGCTCCCCCCAAGAAATTGAATAATATATTAAAAGGAGCTTTTTGAATGAGAAAGAAGAAGGCCACATAACCTTTTGCATGGTCTCCAAGAAACCATCATTAAGATTTTGAGGCTTTTAAGATGAAAGCCTTCAAAATATAGATGATCGTATCCGTGCATGCCAGCAAAACTGAGCTGGGTTTTTCTCCTAAAAAATGTCAGCTACTTTAAACTTATGTGTTTAGACATACATTCTTTAGTGGAATCTTCTAACTATTTTAACCCTTATGATGATGTGGAGTTTCTGCAGCTGATAGATTATCAGCTGTACAAATCAAAGAAAAGGATTCTTGTATCATGCACTTTCATCATTGCTATAAGAGCAAATAGAGTGAATAGAAGAATAAGGAATTAATGGAAATCATTAACATTACTCTTTGTTAATTAAGCACCATAATTGCTACGTCGAAGAGAATGTAAGTCAGAAGAAAGACTGATGCATGGTGGCCTCGTCGGAAACAGCCCTATCAATGTTAACACTCTTTGATCTTTTGACCCAACATTTAACAAGATCTTAATTAATGCAGCAGGACATAGAGAAGAAATCAAGTGATAGTAAACTGGAATCCACCAGAGACATATGAGAAAATTTCAATGTTTATTAATTGATAATATGAAGGATAACAAGCCATAGCACCCTAAAAGTTGTTTATATGTAACGTCTATTAGCCTTAGACTTTCTAGAGTACAAACATAAACAAAATGAACATATAACAAGATACCGAAAAATATTCTAAAATCTTAAAATCTCATTTTTGAGCTAGTATACGATAGAATTAGACCAAAATGCCTATATGTCAGGGCAAAGCTCTAGGTCTTGTTTGCATCATTGTTCTCTTCAAAATAGATGGTCACGGGCTCAAATCAGACATTGAAGTTCAAAGTTGAAATGCTTAGATCTTATTGTCGGATTTGAGCCTTTCAATTTGATCTTTAGTCCATTCCACCATCTAATCTATATAATTTAAATATAAGATTGTAAGTTGAACAAAGCTTCAATTAGGAGCCAATAAACACGTTGAAAAAAATAACAATATCTTGAATGAATTAAGAGCTATTGATCATCATTCCGTTACAATCATGTATTGCAAAAAGTTATTATGTAGTCAAATTTTAAGTTAAAGATGAAGTAGAATATAAGAAAAAGGTTAATGATCAAAGGTTTGCACCTTCTTCTGAGGAAAATTCTCTTGAGATTGTAAAAACCCTACTGTGGGGATAAAAGCAAAAAAGGGTTTTCTTCTTCACTGTCTAGCATGAGCTTTAACATGTTTTTTTTTTTTTTGTCAACAGCTTTTACTTATCTAGATGCAGCTTTGCGATTGTAGAGTTACCATTCTTTAGCCTGTTTCAATCGTAAAAGAGTCCGACAATGTGACAAAAAATAATCATCGAGGGATCAGATATTAGTACAGTTGTTCCCTGCAAAAGAAGTGCCCATACATGATGTCCGCTAGTTCTTTGACCTAACTTGCTGATCACGACCATTCAGTTGCCGCATTTTCTCTTCTTCCATGAGTAATAGCAGCCAAACAAATTCAACCATCTGTAGCTGTTTTATGCTTGTCCTAGTTACTTTCTTCTTTTTCTTCTATATGACGAGCTATTATTGACACTCTAAACAAATTTATGCTAGTATATATACATATGTCGTCCTAATTCTCAATTAAAAACTTTATAATTTAGTCCAATGTAAACAACTGATTGGAAATTCTGCGTAATTAAGATATAATCAGCATACTTAAGTTGAAATTTTCTTCATTTCTTTGGTGAAAAATTACAAGTATATATAGAAGTTTACTATCTTGTTTAATTACTCCCCTTTCTTCCTATATTTTTCCTCTCTTTACCTCCATATGTAAACCCTTCTTTTGCCCTTTGAATAAATTTATGAGAGGAGGAGAGCTCTAGTGTGATACCCACTCACTATAGGAATCAAGAATATAGTAGGAAGAATTCAAACGTTTTTTATTTTATTTTGTTGTACAAGTTAGGTCATAACAATGAAACTGACTTTCACGCATGCGATTAGGAACGGTACATTCATTCATCTTTTTGGTGGTCTTCTTTTCTTCCTTCCTTAAGAAAATAAAAGAAAATTAAGAGAAAAATTACTCCTTTTTTTTTTTTTTTTTTTTTTTTTTTAACACGAGAAAAATTACTCCTAGATTAATAGGATCTGTTTCCTTTCCCTTGCATCTCATAAAGAAAGGGATGAGGGTGATTCCAAAAACCAACAATTTTTACCAAGATCATTCCAAATGATCTGCACATTCATATATACTTGTATAGTGAGCATATGTTTGACGAAGTCTGGTAAATCATTCCGTGAAGAAAACTTAGCAAAGAAATTACCAATGGAGTAATATTGATAAACAATTGGATTCTGAAACAGTTGCATAATTATATTAATGCGGTAACATTTACTTTACATATCTACAGTTTTACACTCAGTAGTATGTCAAACATACCATCAAACAAAACATTTGAGCTATAATACTAACAATTAATTAACACCTTATGTTACAAAATACAACAAAAGGTGGTAATTAATTCATTAACACGTACATTACGTTAAAAGAAACACAAGAAAAAAAATTAAGTGAAAATAAAAAAGCTAAAAGAAGCTGAAAACAGGAACAAAAATTCCTTGAGGGAGAAATCAAAAAGGTGAAGTAGCTTTTAATCCAGGAACACAAGAACTACTTGTCCTCATTACAGATTCTAGGGTTTTATATATTTCATTCGCGCATGGTCTAGCCATGGGGTCACTAGCAGTGCAGTGAAGGGCTAGGTTCATGGTTTCCACAATCTCGTTCTGATTGCTCGACACGTGTTCTCTGATCATCGAGTCGGTCCAGACATCAAGATGGCAGTCTGAGTAGCAGTACCGAGCCCACTCGACGACGCTCTGGTGCGCGCCAAATTCAGTGTCACTGGGGCCTTTTCCGGTCAGCAATTCGATCAAGACGAGCCCAAACCCATAGATGTCAGTCTTCTCTGTAATGCCGGCTTTGCTTTCTTTGTCTTCTACAAAATGAAGCTTTAGAATTTAGTATAGAGCATTTCTAGAGTTATAGATTGTTTGCCAAAAGAAAATAGATGGGACTGTGTTTTATTTGTTCAAATTTATTTATTCAAACATGTAAGATATGACATGTTTACATATAGTATATAGAGTTTAAACCAATGTATATGCATGCATGAATATATGTTAGTCAAGTACGTACCCGGAGCAATGTATGCTGAAACAACGAATCCCTTGGAGTCCGTCCGAACTTGTTCGGAGAGACTCAATCGAATTCGAGGCTCATCTTTTGCGTCCACAATCACTTTCTCTGCCGACACACAACCAGCTACAACGCTTGGCGAGCAACAACAGTGCAAGAACCGTAGAGCCTTCGCAATTCCAACAGCAATTTTCCGGCGCTGATCCCAACTCAAATCCCTCAAAACTTGACCCAACACTTTCCCTTCATAATACTCATAGAGCACATACGCACCATTTTCGGAGTGACATATTCCGATCAGTTTGATCACATTGGGGTGCCTAAGCTTCCCAAGTGCAACAATCTGTGACAATAAACTTGGTGGAATTGCTTTCACAGAATCCTCTTTTACCACGAATTGCATTCCGTTGGAAACTGATTCTCCTTTATATAAAATCCCAGTCTTTTCCATTGCAATGATATTACCTTCTTTGGCTGCCGATAAAATGTCATGGATTGTAACCGATCTAGAAACCCTCGATTCGAAAAACTGCAGCTGCCAAATCCCATCTTTGCTCTCCACCGTTTTAACCTCCAAATCCTTTCTCCTCCTCCTCATTAACACAAATAAATAACCGGCGACTCCAAAAGCCAATAATGCAACAAGAAAACAAGTGACAATAAACCACCAAGTACGGTTTCTCTTAACGCCCTTGCACGGAGGTAGACCACTAATGGTGTCACTTCCGCCGCAGAGGTTGTTGCCGTCCACTGCGCTGGCATTTATGGCAAGAAACGCTGCTGTGGGCGGCAACATGCCGTGGAGTTTGTTGTGGGAAATGTTGACTTGAACAAGCGATACTATAGCTCCCAAATTCCGTGGAATCTCGCCCGATATTTGGTTTTCGGACAAATCTAGGTCCCCGAGAACCGGCATATCAGAGAGGCTAGTGGGAATCGTGCCGGTGAGGCGATTGTGGCTGAGGTCGAGGCTCACGAGTTTTTTGCATGAAGACAATTGTTGAGGGATGGGACCAGAGAGTTCATTGCGAGAAAGCTTCAACTGCATTAGTTCCGACAAGTTCCAGAAACTCAGTGAGATAGGTTCCCGATAACCAATTTTCGGACAAGTCCAAGTTCTCGAGCTTTTCGCTTCCAAAATTTTCCGGTAACTTCCCGAAAAATCGATTTCTCGCCATATTCAGCATTTGAAGAGAGGGCATCTCCCACTTTTTGTCATCGATTCTGCCAGAGAGATTGTTGCCCGATATATCCAGGAAATAGACAAGTGGGAGTTTGGTGAACTCGGCCAATATTTCACCGGAAAGCCGGTTGTTCTGGAGTCTTACTCGGCTCAAGCTCCTGCAAAAGGACAAACTTCGGGGGATTTCGCCTTCGAGTGAATTGGAGAAGAGGATGAGCTTAAAAAGCCGGCCTGAGTCGCATAGCGTATCAGGTATTTTTCCAGAAAGGTTGTTTGAGGAAAGGTCTAAGACAGTGAGGTTGTTTTGGTTTCCGAGACGTTTCGGGATTTGGCCCGAGAACTTGTTTGACCATAACTGAAGGACTTGAAGCCTTGGCAGAGAAGCCAAAGCGTTGGGAATTTTTCCTGTGAAGTTGTTTGAAAAAAGGTGGAGGATTTCCAAGTTTTGGAGTTGGAAAACACTTTCCGGTATCTCTCCCGAAAGAAAATTGTCACTAAGGTCGAGAGAAACGAGTTTCTCGAGACCGAATAAGGATTGTGGAACTGGACCTGTGAGTTTGTTTCCATAAAGGAAAAGGTACCGAAGATTAGAAAGGTTGCTGATTGTGTATGGGATTTCGCCGGTGAGGTTGTTGTAAACAAGATCGAGATGATTCAAGCCGAAAAGGTTACCAATTTGTCCAGGGATTTTGCCGGAGAGATTGTTGTAGCCCAAGTAGATCCACTTCAAGTTCTTCATTTGGCCTAATTGTGTAGGAATTCTTCCAACAAGTTGGTTTGAGGCCAAAGTTAGGTACTCCAAGCTAGACAGGTTTGATATGGAACTAGGGATGTTTCCCACCAACACATTTCCTCCAAGGTCAAGAAATTTCAAGCTCGAAAACGATCCGATGTCATTTGGGATTGTGCCTGAAATCATGTTGTTGGACAAGTCTAGTACCTCTAGGGTTGTGAGTGAGCCTTGTGGAACTGTGCCGGTTAAGTTGTTGCTGCTGAAGTTGAGATGGCGAAGCGAATTAGACCCTTTTATAAACACGTCTTTGGGGACTTGGCCGGATAGCTGATTGTTGGAGAGGTCGATAGTTTCGACTTGGGACAAGTGGAAGACGGAGGATGATATCTTGCCAGAGATGTTTCTTCCGGGAAGCTCGATGGCTTTGATGTTGTTGTTGACGTTGCATGTGATGCCATGCCAATTGCATAAAGTGTTGGCTGAAGTGTTCCAGTTTGAGAGGTAGTGTAAAGGGTCGTTGATATAAGCTTTGAAGGATAAGAGAAGCTGAAGCTCATCAATACCATCCAATGCACAAGTATCATTTGAGAAGAATAAGAACACGAGAATGCACCATAAGAGACGTGTTTGATGAGGTTGTCCCTTTTCCATCTTAATCATCAGCTCAAATTAATTAATATCCACGTAAAACAGCACTGAAATGAGAGAGAGTAGTATTATTTAATGTATAATTAACACGTAGTTCATATCTTAGCAGCTGATGTAAATGTTTTCATTCAAAATTAAAGAAATTCATTTCAAATTGACAAAACTACACGAAGAATATACTTACCACATTAGCTTTCATGAAATTATAATCAAACACGAACCCAGAATAGCTTTATAAGATCCTATACAAAGATTGGAACAACACATAGTTAGATTATAACTATTATCTGAGGGAAACAAAATTGAATGAATATAAAAATAAATAAATAAATCTTTGGTAAAATGTCCATGACGTACCTATTATTAATTAGGGTTTCTGTCTGTAGATGATGAAGAATATGTGTTTTGAAGTAGAAAGGATCGATTGGAGAGGGGTTGGAAATGAAACTATTTGGTGAAGAGGGTTCAGTGAGGGAGAGTGGGAGATTGGACTGCTTAAATAGATGAGAGGGATCAAAAGATGGGGAAAGTGGGCAAGGAAGTTGGAGATAATTACGAAATGGAACCTTGACTTTCTTTGGAATGATGGTTTGAAGTTTGAACACGAACGGTTGAAAGAGCAACAGGGACAGATGTTGGGAAAAAAGACTGATTTTGTCGGGTTAATTACTAAAATGCTCTTTTGACTTACTGACTGACTGGCATGTATTTGTAACCGTTGAAGACCTTCCAAACTTTTTTATGTTTTTTCTCAAAAGAAAGAAAAATGAGAACTTTTGAAGTGCTTTTACAAATTTGTTGTTGCTTACAAATTAAGAAGAGAAGTCTGTTAACAAGTTAGCTTCAACAAGAAGATTAATGAGGAACGAAAATTAAGTTGATTGGATGGAGAAATGTTTTTACTTACAAACTCTGCCTTTAGAGGAGAGATGGGTGTGCAAGTAATAATCGTAATGGTATGTGTAGTAGAAGTGCTTTTCATAGTCTAAATCAAAATTCAAGATCATGAAAAACGCAATTAAGAAGATTAAACTTGGAGTATTTTTGTAGGATTTGTTAAGGGAAAATGATTTTTGCATACAAATTTTTTATTTAATTGTGCATACTCTCGAAGATTTAAGTCTTTCAAATCGAAAGCAAAAAGAATATTATAGGACGAAAAAAATAAACATGATTGTGCAACAAGAGAAAAATAATGTGCATAAATCATTTTCCTAGAAGGACTTGTATTAAAGTAGACAAATGTTAGGAAGTCCATATATTTATAAAGTGGTTGAGCTAAGATTTTAGTCTTGGAGGGACCCAAAAGTCTCAATCTAAAATACTCTCCTGATCTTACAAAATTTACTCTGGTGAGCAACTGACTATTGTCGTTTGGGTCTGGTATGGTGTCATCCTTAGCATCCTCTTCCTTCAGCCTAAACCCCAAGTTTCTTTGACTATCGTTGTTTGGGTCTAGTATGGTATCATCCTCAGCATCCTCTTCCTTTAGCCTAAACCCCAAGTTTCTTTGACTTTCTTCCTCTCTCCCTCCACTATCCCTAGACCAGAGTCCACCTCAAAGCTCACAAGAAATCGATTGTATGAACTCCATAGGAGTCGCCGACCTCAAATCAAACTCGAAAAAAGAAATTAAAGTAAAAGTCAGTTTGGGTCCTAAGCCTACGGAAAAATCTTGAAAATATAAGCATAATACTAAATTTTCTGTGTAAAAAAATTGTCAGATGGGCATGAAACCATCATGACCTCTTTATGGCTCCGCCTCTATATTTATACCCCGTTGATGTATCATATAATGTAGCAAGCAATACATACAACCAATATACAATGATATAAATTTATTAATTAACGTAGCATATAAATATCACATGCCACGTCAAATTATGCATAATTATTACCGTTTGTTTTACATATTGGTGAAGTTGTGCGAGCCTTTGTTTCTATTATTAATGAGCCTGTATAGTAGACTTCTAAACGATAGTGAACCTGTGCGACTCGACCTCAGCATGTATATTTTAATACTTTGAATTTTTAAAGATACCATCGTTATTATTGTGGTCTACATCATGACACTTACATGTATATTTTGAATTTTTAATCTATCATTTCATACTGAAATTTCACTATATTGAGGATGAGACCCAAATTAGAGATGAACATCTGAAGAAAAAAAAAATTGTGCATGACACTGTTTCTTTGGGGGCTATATAAACATATTACTATGCCGATGCCATTGAAACAATATCAGATATCAAGTTTCATACCACTTTTGCCCCTCCGACAATAAGAATACGAAAGAACCCAAACATGCTAACCAAAGAAAACCAAAACTTTTCATTATGATTCACATCTAACCCAGCCTGAAACACAATAACTAGGGCAGTCAACAAAATATAGTGTGTGTGTGTGTGTGTGGTGCATATAATCTCAATAGTTTTATTTTTTATTTATTTTATACAAATGATAGTATTAGTGAGTTAAACTATTAGTTGTTAGGAAGGAGGGAGATCAGTGAAGATTGAATCTGTAGTATGGTGCATAAATATGATTGTTTCTGGCTACTATGGTAAAGTGTCATTTGCGTAATTTCAATAGTTTATGAAGAAGAAAAAAAATGAATTTAGACATCCAAACTTGCTCAATGGTTTAAATGATATTCTGTAAAAGATTATATGGAAAATTTGAAATAGGTCCAATTTTATAAACCACCTTTTGAAATAGGTCCAATTTTTAGTGACTTTTGACTTTTGAAATAGTTCTAATTTTTAGTTATTTTGAACCCATATCAAAAGACCCCAAGATTATAAAGCACTCAATTTAATAAGGGTGACATCATCACAAATTTAGAAAGTTTCTTAGTTAGATCAAAAGTCAATAGACCTATACTTAAAAGTAAAATATTAAACCTAATGATTGATGAAAGAATTGTCACTTAGTACTACGCTTTAATGATATTCTTCTTCAATTATGAGTGAGAGATCTAGTGGTATTCCTTTTCAATTGTAATTTGAACTACATTATTGCTAGCCTATTGTGAGGCTTAGCCAACCCCTTCCGTCTTAGAGTAGATAATATCGTTTGTTAAAAAAAAAAATGACTAATGAAAGAATTAGTTCTATATCCAATTATCTTCAAAAAAAATTGACCTCTCTAACATTTTCCATTCAAATATCATTTCAAAATGTTAAATTTGACAACGCTACATCCGTTCAGATTTCATCATTAAAGCACGTCTCTTGTTTGCAGCCTAACAACAACAATTGTTCAAACCCATTCAACGGCTTGGTTGGGAGTTTCACACTAATCATTGTTGCAATATCTACACTTGTGCAGTCATTCATTGGTTTGTTTCTAAATGACTACTTTGTCAGACACAATTATGACAAATTAATAAATCCAAATTATTCTTCAATCCCACTTTAGTGTGTGTATACAATTTATAGAACAAATGAACCTTGGTATTTTTATAGTAATTATAGTGCGTAAGCAAGGGCAACTTGGTAGGTATAGCTAGTGAGCTGAAGCTGATCATGATGAAATTCCCCTGCATGTAAAAAGCAATGTTCTTGAACCCTTTTTGCTTGGACTCTAGCTTTTTATTATTATCTAGGATTCTCTCCTAATGAGCAGAGAGAGAGAGAGAAAAAAGGAGAGAAAGGAAACTTTTGGAGAGAAATAGCCTCTGAGATGTGAGTACAGTACAAACATATGGAAGGAATTACAAGTGAAGGTAAATAATGAACCAGAAGAAAGAACAGTCGCAGTGGGGCTAAAACCAAAAGGCAGAGAGGAGAGAGTGAGAGAGAGAGAGAGAGAGAGAGAATTATTAGGGCAAAGCAGTCTAAACAGGGGAATGGATGGATTGAAAAGAGAAACTAAAGTAGTAAAGTGGGGGGTCTTTACGTTACATACATACACTTAGTGGCAGTACTCGTGCGCACACTTTCCTCCTCCTCTATTGCCTTTCTCTCTCAACTGAGGGGATAGAGGGACCCAAAGTCTTTTTCTCGAAGGAATATACAGCGTGTGGTCTTTGTCATAACCGGCATGCTTTGCTCATCTCCATTTTCTAGGGCTTTACGTTGCCCAGTTTCGGTTCCGTTTCTTTCTCTCCTTCTCTAGTTTTATGCCCACACTCAGCATTTCGGGCCTTTCCCCACTATCAAGTATCAGCTCACCATCCATAACTTTTTATTCGACGAGTAAAATACAAGCTACCTTTTGATTTTATTTTTTCGGTTTTTATTCTCATCTTACAATATTACATGATAATTTGGCATGTATATTCTTTAAGTTACATGGTAGGATGAAAAGAAAAAGGTAAATTAAAAAGGTTTGAGTGAAAAAAAAAAGTTGATAGCAACCAAAGGTAAATGGATTAGGTAACATTACGAGTCGACAAATTGTATTCCTCTACGTGTCTTATTCCCACTATATTTTTTTCATATGTAACCCTAGGTGATCGAGCTTTTGTATTTATATTGGTTGGATCGGATCTTTATAACCTAGCTATCAGCCTTCTGAAAACACTGTGCAGTCGTGCTCCTTCCACTATGTCTCTCATGTGAAAAGGCCATTAGGAATAGAAAATACAAAAGTATACTACTTTTAGTTTGTATCACATTGACACAAAGACCTGCTGGTTGGGGGCAAAAATGGTAAGTGCGCTCGGCAGCTAGAGAGTGACAAGCAGGGAAAGAATATTTGCTTCTAACACTTCTTTATTTGCACCAAACAAAAGCGGAAATTGAAAAGAAGCTATATAGCAATAAGATATATATACCCAATCAAACACAACAGGCTCTAGATTAATTAATTATTTACTTAATTAATTTATTCTCATATATATCCACTACTTGGAGTTGGATGTGACCATGTGGATACGACATTATAGTCGAATATGTTTATTTTAATTGTGAATTCAGTTCAAAATCCTTTTGGCAAATATTAGCATTGAAAAGTTAACTTGTGCCAATATGCTGTAAAGAGCGCATTAAGTCCAAAACCAGGTTTTAGTGATTAATTTTGTATTTATACTAGTAAATATGTACCAGTTTTCATTACATACACCTTTTTCAATCTCTATATGTAATTTTTTTTAAGGATAATGCTTTCGTCATTTCCACTGCAGAAAGTCCTTATTTCTTCCTAACACTAATACACTATGCATACAAACATCATAATTAGAATCATTTATTTTTGTCATAATCTAAAGATTATCTATAAAATATTCATGCAATTTGGAGAACTTTCTTCTTTATTAGGAATGGTAGAAGTATTATTCTTTTCAGCCTCCGCTTGTTTCTTATTCATTGATTAATTTGATCAGTGAGTTGTATGCATGACGTGGAGCCGACCCATTTCCCTTGAATAAGGGTCTCAATAATCTCTTTTGAAATTTGTAGGGCTTCATGTTCTTAGTTAGTGGCCTAGTTCATTCACTTGGACGAAACTTTAATTA